TATATACATATATATATGAATTTTGTATCAGTTATAGTCTTTCCGAAATCAGTTGAACATGTACAGAAACGCTTAGCAATAAAATTTAATGAGTTTCATAGGCGTTCCTAAAAAAGTTTTTTGCTAAAGGGAAAAAATAATAATAATTTGTATATAATGTGTAGAAAATTGCTATTATTATGTTCATTTGGCTAACAACATATTTTTTCTTTATCTAAACTATAAATTGTCCGCCGAATGTCATCGATATTTTTAAATGTTTATTTTCTCTTCCTCTTTACGCAATGATCTTGTTTAATAACACGAAAAATTGTGGACACTAAAACTTTAGTTAATATGTGAATTCTATTTATAATTTCATTATCTGATTTTTAATTTTTCTGATATTGAACATGTAAATCTTTATTTTTAAATTCTAAATCTGTTTCATCAACAACCGGTTCTACTGATTGAATATTATCTGGCGGTATTTCGTTTTGTTCCGTTTCAAAAGGTCTCCGAAATGGCATTTTGTAATAATATTAGTAAACAAAATATCCCTCTTATTTCTCCCTTTGGCAGGTGTAATATGAATGATTAATAGAAGATGCCTATAATAAATTAAAATTACCTGAATCACACCAAATTCTGCATTGCTGCACTGCACTGCTAGGCAGTTTGTCAACAACTGAAATTTATTACCCAGTCGCCTAGTGCGGCTGTGTTTGGCGTATACATTTCTACCACCTCCATGTTTAGTGCTACCAGACCTGTATATGGGTATGGGTAAATAAATATGGGAACAAGTTTTTTCAAATATTTCAATGCCGAGTTGCTGCGTAGCGACCGAACCAGGTACATAATGCCTACGTCTTTGGTCTTCAATTGACATCGGAAAGACTATACATATGATAGATAGATAAATAGATATTTATTTGACCACTGTTTACATATATTCGTACAAATGTGGTATGTTAATTTTCAGTTTAAGTTTGAACTGTAAAACAGTTGATATTATAAAAGAAAGTACAATGTATAAATCCTATACACAACGTTAAAACAATTTTAACAAAAATCACACAGAACATAAAATTATACAACATGTCTAATTATATAGTCATTTCACTTACAAAAATTTCTTCTTTTAAAAATGACACACTAATTACAAATCGTTGCAAAAAATAACATCAATCTGCAAGTCAAAGTTATTGACGACATGTAAATGAAAATACACTTTCCATAAATAAATACCTCCAGTTTTAAATCTCTAAATTTGTTCATGTTTCAGTTCAAAATTTACAAATCAGTTGTAAAAACGACTTCTGAGTCGTTTATAAGTTAGTAATAATTCTCTTCATATTTCCTTTTCCGGTAGATAAAATTTTTATTTTATTTATGAAAGTAATAATCAGTAATTGTCAAGCACTTAAAGTTGATATTGTTTAATAAGATTTTAGATTTTACGTCTCTATTTAGTTTATAGATTTGTAAATGTTTATCAACACTATGAATAAAAATGGACAATAATAATTAAACAACTCCAAACTAAAAATGTTAGTGACCATATTAACAATACATTTAACATATATTTAAATTACTTGATTTGATAAATCCAAAATAATTGATATGTCAGTTCCCGATTATTAAGGGTTCCCGATAAATAAGGGAATTTAGGTTGTCAACTGCAGCGTGAAAATTTCTCCCTGGGGCAACGAATTCGATGAATTCATAAAAGTGATTTAAATTATTTACGTCAGTGTGTTTATTCACATACTTTTAACTAATGCAATCAATGCGACAGCTTCTTATTTTTAATGCTATTATACTTCTATTACTATATACGCTTTTTGAATTATTACGGTTGATATGTGCCCTAAAAAGTGTTGATGCTTTCCCCAATAAAAGGGAACGCATAACTCATAATTTTCGCTGCAAATCTTCCCTTTAAATCTACGCAATGAAATACAGCTTCGTCATCGAAATGCGTAAGCCGGGGATTGAGGGAGGAATAATATTTTTGGCAGTAAAGTTAAATTAGCATAAAAACGAATATATATCACATTCAAACATCTATAGTCTCTCCACACAGAATTCAAAGTCAAACGTGTTTTACTTGCAAACAGTATTTCCTCCGCTATATTAATATTTTTCTATGATCGCTGTACATAAGAGCATATATACGACAGCTGGAAGAGGGTAAGGAAATAACGGTCTTGATTCCCTGACTGATCCAAGATTTCGATTTTACTTAACATTTTCTTCAGGGCTATCAATAATAAAATAGTTGAGTATATAATTTAAAAAACATTAAAACAATATTTAAAACACATTTTAATATTTTAAAAGCAAACACATACCTATTAAAATGTATTAATTAAAATTGTTGATGCAGAAATAGGCAATACACAGAACATAGAATATGTTACAATACGTTATATAATATGTTTGTCAGAAAAAATGACACTGATTTTAAATAATGATAACCATTTTTTTATTGTATTCTTCAATGAAAGATAAACTTGATATATCGTATCTGTTTCGTGTACTTTATGAAATCCAGTTGTTCAGAGATATACAGGGTGTGGCGTGTATAATCTATAAAAATTAAACTACAGCCTCCTAATGATATTTGTAATAGAAAAGTCTTATACGAAAAAGTTCTATTTTTGCGTTTTTTTCGTAAATTTAAGTTCAATTATGGATCAAAATATTTTCTCTGAAACGGTCCTGTCCGTATGCTGGACGATGAGTTACGTGCTGTAAACCAGCCGCGTAAACAAATCGTCATTGAAAGATAGAAAGATACTTCTCTATTTCTCGGAAATTTTTTAATGCACAAGTATAAACTAAGAAAAATAGATATTAAAAAAAAACTGATATTTCCTTATTATAATACGAGTAATTAATAGTAATTATTATTTTAAATGCATTGTTGTTACTGTAAGAGTCCACAAACAAAACCGCGAATATTTTCCCATATTCCAGGTATTCCCCTAATTGTGTCAGCAGCTTCAAGTATACGGTTTCGCAATTCTTCAACCGAAGCAATTGGAGTATTGTAAACCAATGAGTTCAGGTGACTCCAAAGATTAATGTCCATTGGAGTTAGATCGGGTGACCGAGGTGGCCACGGCACAGGACCAAAGTGTCCAATCCATCGCTGAGGAAACATTTCATTCAAAAGTGTCGTTACTTCTCGAGTACTGTGTGGAGGAGCCCCATCTTGAAGATAAAACATGCGTGCCCAAACTTGTAATGCCACATCGTCCAATAATAATTGAGGCAAACGGTTCTCCAAAAAATCAGCATAAGTTGGTCCATTTAGTCGTTCTTCAAAAAAATAGGAATCCATAAGTACATCGCCTATTATGCAAGCCCAAACATTTACCGAGAACTGATGGTGAAAACGAGTTTCCATAATCGCGTGAGAATTTTCATCGGCCCATAGGTGCATATTATGGAAATTCATTTCATCACGGGTAAATGTCGTCTCATCTGTTACACAAACGTAAGCAGGAAAGTCTACTTGACTGGCACATTGACGTAAAAACTATCTACAAAAACGCATTCGTTGATCATAATCCGAGGGTAAAATCTGTTGAACTGGTTGCAGATATAGGGGTTGTTACGATCTCAGGGAGGCAGAACACAATACTTATCTCAGTTTTATTAATATATTCCTGGTTACCTACATTACACTTAAAATACAACTTTATCAATACAGTGGGTAATTTTTCTTAACATATAAATTTCAGTTTATCGTGCATACATCGTACAACCTCCATCGAAGTCCCACTGCACACTGCCCCGCACTTCAGTGGACTCTCCCCTCTACCGCACTTAGTCCCCACTTCATGATTAACACTCATGCGCGTCACAGGGTGCAACAGCTGGTGCCTTAAGATGCGATGTACGGTACGAGATGAGGTTCCTAATTGTTGTGCGCGTCGTTGAGTACTAATTGTGGGGTCTTCGTCAAGATTTTCCAACACAGTATCTTTAACATTAAGGTTCACTAGCTGACCACGTCTTTCTCCTCGAGGAATAACTCTTCCCGTATCTCGCAGCCGCTGAATGCACTGTAGAATATTTGCATATGAGGGGTGACGTTGTGGCCATCGTTCCCGGTACAACCTAGTCGCCGCGAGCGCATTTTCTCCGGCTGCACCGTACACTAACACCATATCGACACGTTCGGAAATAGTAAATGCATTGTTTTCTCGGTTCATTGTGAAACTAGTTTGTGCACAAACTAAAAAATTAAGCAAAGTAAGAAATAAGAATCGCGTTTTTACTATCACCATCGTGAAATTACAAAATAAAAACTTTTGTCTGGAATCTTCCACTTCTTAACACTGATGGGTCGATGGACGATGCTTAATATTTAATAATTAAGTGAATAATGAATTCAATACAATTTTTTTGACAATGTAACCTAACCTTCGTTTAGTATTATTAGTATTAGATTATACCGACTTAAATTATAAGGTTGCATCTCGGGTCGCATAAAAACATTTCCAACGTTTCTAATAAATAACACAGGGTCGGTCTTCATTTTCGTTGAATAAATGAACTTTAATTTACAAAAAAACACGCGAAGATAGAACTTTTTCGTATAAAAGTTTTCTATTAGAAATATCATCAGGAAGCTGTAGTTTAATTTTTATAGATTATACACACCACACTCTGTATACAGGGCAAACAAAACAAAATATAAAATACAGAATTAGAGATGTATGGATAAAGTTACCCAATAATTCCAGAACAAAATGTCAAACACGCGAAATTTAAGTACAAAAGCACTATTAATAAATCTATTAAATGCTAATCATTTGACAACACCTCGTACGTTATCATTTTATGGGTGTTAACATTTTTAACAAATTGGCAGCTCCAGACCTAGGTACATATCCTAATAATTATTTTGAATATTAAAGTTTTCTCAGAAAAAAAATTAAATGAAAAGTAATAATATTTTTTTAATTTTATTTGGTTCATTGCACGATAAATTATCTTAATTATATGACAGTGGTTATCTCACTAGGTAAGGTTGCTACTTTTTCCTCTTTTAAATATATTTTGTATACCTTTTTTATATTGGTGCAGTCCTCAACAATTTAATTAATAATTTTGAAATATTCTTTTCAACTATTATTTTAATATTTTCTAAATTATGTTCTACATATACATTTTTATATTTTTATTATTACGTATAGCCCTTAAGAAGGTTCTAAATAAAATTGAAACGTTGACTTATTGTCAGTCAGAAAATCAGGAACCTTATTTCCTTGGCCTATTCCGACTACACATATTATTATTAAATGAATTATTGTTTACATGTTCGTTAAGTACCTTAACTCGCTAATTTTTAATTTCCTTGCATCAACCTCTCGCAGGCATATTTTCGTAATTTTTTTAGGTGATTCGTATTTTTAATTTTCAATGTGGATTGAGGAAATCGTATCATCAATGTCATTTTCCAGAAAAAAGTGCAGCCTTGGAAGCTGTACTCAATGGTGTCCGGCCTGCTGCTGGTGGACGTCGTCATAATGTTGGCGTGGCAGCTGCTCGACCCGCTACAGCGACGCATCGAGCTGTTCCCCCTGGAAGCGCCGGTCTCCTCCCTGGACGACGCCCAGATAAGGCCGGAACTGGAGCACTGCGAAAGCCATAACAATAACGTTTGGTTGTCCGTGATTTACGCTTATAAGGGATTAGTTCTGGTGAGTCAATAAAGGGGATCTCTTGGTCTCGGCATTTATCGATGGCCGTTAGACTTCTTACCATTCTTTAATTTGAGTAGACTTCGTCTATTCGTTTCGTCTATTAGTACGGGGTATGCTCGGTTGTCGGTTAGTACTCGGCATTGAATTAAATGAATGAATATGAATTTCAAAGACACACGGCAGATGCGCTATTCCATGGCCTACACCGATATCACCTGACTTGCATCACAAAACATTGAAAGACAAACAAATATCGAAAGGTACAGACTTACAGGAAAAAGATATAAAGATTGGTAAACGCGTATAAAAACATAGACGAAAATAAATAACTCGATATGCAGACAGACCAAGGACATTTAAATAAAGGATGCATGTCACAGTCTATCTCATATGTTGGGTGAAGCTAGACAAGGGAAAAGCAGAGGGCTTTATTTTCATCCAACTGATGCGCGCGATTACATCTCCAATGTCGTACATTTTGGATGGGTCAAAATAAAATATTTTATAGTCCTAAATCAATATATTTCAACAGCTACTTAATATTTTTATAATAAATATATATAATATTTTTATAACTTCTTGGAATCCCAATAACTAACCATTTCTTTCTTGTTGCACCATCCCCAAGCATCCTAAAAACGTTCACATTTCACTTTTAGAATACTGAGGCAAATTTTCAGTGAGACATAAAAATATATTCCCAAAGGAGAACATCAAATGGTCGAATGAATGCAACATTCAGTCGATTGCATCTTCGGTATTTTTATGTGTAAGTGAACCACCACCATATTTTTGCTGTTGTATTTATTCAGTTTTTATGCTCGTGCATTTAGTAAAATTGTAAATATATTTTTGAAAAGGTTTTTGTCGTAGAGGAAAATGAAAATGATGAATGATTAAAATGTGTAATGTTGGGTATAAGGGATAACGTTGAAATACCTAGAAATATATTAAATATAAATAATGTCTGTAACTTATTTGTGGTGCAGCATTTTCCTTTGATTTTAATGGCCAAACGTGGTTCATATTATTGTTTTCTTACTATTTCAGCAAAATTTAAAAAAAAATCCATGTCAGTTTTATAAAATTTTACCGTTATTCAAAGAAAAGTTACCCACACGCACGACAATGGCCACAGTTGCATATACATTCCAAAGTCACCTTCAACACGCTTACCTGTGGAAGGATAGCTGATGTGGATGTTTATAATCCAATTTCTTACAAATTCTGCACTGTCTAACCATATTCACATCTTAAAAGTTTATCCAAAATACATGTATAAACACTAATCACGTTTCACTTACTAAAATCACAACTATTTTCTAACAAGAGACGCCATATTCTGTCAACCACGGCAGAACGAACGAGGAACACGCTACAAATTATTGCGTAGTTGCCAAGTCTTCAAACATGGCAAATATGAAAAATGAAAAATAGTTTAATATGTACAGAATTTAACAATATTGCATGCATAACTTAATAATACTATCCTGTAATAATAATTTTCACAATTGTGATGAAAATTGCGATAAAAATATTAAGTACATTTCCAGTATAATTATACAGCTGACAACAATCATACAATTTGACTGTGAATAGACCAGGCTTCATCTAGAAATGTAAGTAAATAAGTCCCCTTTATTTAAATGTCCTTGAGACAGACACAGTTTCTACCAATAAGTACAAAGCAATGCTTTGTAGGTACTTAAATCTCATCTACATATTCACGCAGATTGGCACTTCCAGACGCAGGCAGACAGACAAAGACAAACAGTAAACATACAGACGTGCACAGGTACACATAATGCAGGCTGTTTATCAAAGAATGTGGTCGAAAACAAAGAAGCAAAGTCCTAAAGGTGGTGAAATATTATATCTTACGGCTAAAGAGAACGATGAAGTTTTAAACTGAAACTGTTAGTGCTAATTACGTGAGTCGTTAAACAGTAATGAGCAAAATTTCTTGCCTTCATTAGAATTCTCGCCATCGCATCGTAAAGAGGGGTACCGGGAAATTTACATGCCGATACTAAAAAAGACTCGGTAATATGAGACAAGGATTTATCATTGAGATAATAGTTATACCAGTTAAAGAAACGCTTTCTACTACGTGTGTAACATCTCATTTCGCCCCGATGCGTAATGTAAATATTTTACGCCTTAGTAAAAAAAATAAATTGTTCTTTTAATATGTCACGGTGGCAGAATGGCACTGACAACTGTGGTATTAGATGTCACCTCGACATCGTGGCTTTCCACTTGTCATACTAACAATTATTTAGTAACAAAGACAGTAAAATCGTTGAAGAACGTTATTAGACCAGGGGGGATCTGTTTTGAGGTGGATGTGAAAGGGGGCAAGCAATTTTTTTCTGGATTACCTTCAGCACAACTCACATAATAAAAGTGTAGATCCCTAGATCTGGGCGAGATCCGGAACATTTTTAAAATTGCAAAAATGTTTAAAAAATTTTTAAATATAACTATTTTATCTGAGTTTTTTACTTATATCTTGGAACCTACACATTTTGGAAGAACATTGAAGAGGAAAAATAGTTTTAGAATTGAATTTGCACAAAATATTTAAATTTATTATCGATGTTGCAAAATAGCGATAATTGATGAAAAAAATGCAAAATAATCAAGTTTTTTGGATAATTTTTTTTAAATATTTTAATTGCTACGAAGGCATTCTAATTTTGGTAAATAAAATATAGAGTATAATAAAACAACACAACAAATTTCATTAAAATAGATTCGATAGTTTTCCCAATATAACTTTTTGAAAAAAAAAAATTAAAAATTTTTTTCGAATTTGCACGAAATGTTGCACAGCCTCAAATAAAGTATCTAGATACTTCAAAATTTTTTGACATAGAAAAGACCGCTCAACCTTTCAAATGGATTTTGAAAAACTATAAAATTGTTGATTAGGACAGCCACAGTAAATTTTTAACGTTTTTTTATTTTTAAACAATTAGATTACATTTATCAATTTGCAATTTAGTTTTTTTTTTTAAAAATTATAATTTTAAAGTACTATTTTTATCTGTATTTAACAAAAAAAAAATAATTTCCAAAAAATTTTTTTCTTTTTTTAATTTGTTTAAACAAAAATTATTTAAATAATTGTAATAATTATAACATTCACAATCAGAGTGTTTAAATATATACGTAAACAAATTTTTTCATTGAAAAAATGCAATAGCATAGGGTAAGAATATACAGTATATTTAATACATAAGTAATAAACTTTGTTCATAACAAAATATGTGCAAATTAGACAGTTGACATTACGATATTCGAATTCCTTGGTTCGCAGGACATCGGATAAAAAAAAAAGATCGAAATTGGTCCATTAGAAGCCGAGATAATGCAATTTTTTTCGTACCTTCGCATTTTGAACCTCCGAATTCAGTCTCGGAGCTAAAGCCCCCTCCCCCACTTTTCGTGTTTTGAGTCACTTTTCGCGCGTGCAAGCGACAGCTTTTCCGCCGATTTATCCATGTTGCCGTTAACTTATGGATATGAAAATTTTTTCCAGCTGGGAAAAACGAAGTTACTGGATCAAAGATTATTGCTAAATTGTTTATGAATTAACGGTAAATGCCGATAAACTTTGACCGCTTATATCTCGACAACCAATAAACGGAATGAATTTTTTTCTAAGAAGCGTCTTTCCGAGCACTTTAAAGTTATAATTTTTGAAACAACTAAATTGCAAATTGATAATTGTTCAAAAATTAAAAAAGAGTACTGTGGCCGTCCTAATCAACCGATTTTTTAAAACCATTTGAAAGATTGAGTGGTCTTTTCCATGTGAAAAAATTTTCAAGTATTTACATGCTTTATTTGAGGCTGTGCAACATTTTGAAAATTCGAAAATGTTAATTCAAAATTTTTTCAAAAAATTATTTTGCCGATTTTTATGAAATTTGGTGTGTTGTTTTATTATACTCTAAAGTTTTTTTTATCAAAATTAGAATGCCCTCGGAGCAATTAAAATATTTTTAAAAAATTATCCAAAAAGCTTTTTTTCATCAATTATTACTATTTCGCAACGTCGGTAATCAATTTAGACATTTTTAAATTACAGTATATTGTGCACAATTCAATTCTAAAACTTTTTTCCTCTTCAATATTCTTCCAAAATATATAGGTTCCAAGATATAAATAAAAAAACTCAGATAAAATAGATAGTTTTTAAATTTTTTAAACATTTTTCCAATTTTCAAAATGTTCCGGACCTCGCCCAGATCTAGGGATCTATACCTTTATTATCTGAGTTGTACTGAAGGTATTCCAGCAAAAATAATTTGCCCCTGTTACATCCAAGAAGTAGGATATTTCGATAGATCCGCCCTGATCTATACGGCCTTAATCCAGATGCTTACTTCATCTGCTGAATTTAAAATTTCATGAAATACCATTGGATTTGTTTGGGAAAATAATCGATTACGTTCTATCTTACTTTACGTTATACTGGCGTATAAACGAAAAATTTTATATAGACACTAATGCGTAAAATAGCACAATTACGCACTATCTATTTATAACAGTTGTAAAACTAATATGTGAAGGACTCTCAAATCTCATATGGATTTAAAAGTTCATAAAATACCATTGAATCCATATGAGAAAAAAATCAGGAACATTCTGTCTTATTTTAAATTAGTAGCGTATAGAGCGAAGTATTTTACATACGCACAAATGTATAAAATGACATATTTTACATACGCCCTAATCTGTAAAAAATATTTTACACACGCATAAAGGTAGGAAATAAATATTAATACATACTCTTTAATGCGTAATACTCACTAGTTCTTAAAACCACGGAACTAACATATGAAGGTTTCCGAACCTCATGGATCTTACTCAGAATAGTTATGAAAACCCTGGAAAAGTCAGCATTTCCAAGACATGTGCTGGGTACCCTGTCACTTTGATGTTTTCAGATTTTTGGTTTATTTCTCGCCTACGAAACGAGGTCGTTGAAGGTAAAACAAATAAACGACTCCAGGTACGTGGGTATGAGCATCTACAACGTCGTCATCCTGTGCCTGATAACTGCTCCGGTTACCATGGTCATCGCCAGTCAGCAGGATGCCAGCTTCGCGTTCGTGGCCCTAGCGATAGTTTTTTGTTGCTTTCTTAGTATGGCTCTCATCTTTGTGCCTAAGGTAAGCTACTAACAATCCGTGATAACTTGTGATTGTTTGTGCGGATGAACGATTTATACTGATGGTTAAAACAAATCTGCATTTAAAAATACAAATTTTTTCTCCTGCGAACATGTGTACTAAGAAATACCTCTTGCAAGCTACAACTTTTTAAAATTTAAAGTAGCGGATTTTCTTGGATTTTCTTGATTACTCATTAATGATTCGTAAAAATTTAACTGTAAGTTTGCTCTAAATTAAAAAAAGATAGCTAGGGATTTTAACTACTTCTAACCTGAAAAGGATAACAAAACAAGACAAACGGAAATACAACTAAAAAAATACATAAAAATACTTATTTTTGTATTTTGATTTTTTCTTTTTTAAGAAAATATGGTTTGAATAATTTCGCTTTTACTTGTTTCTTAAAACCACCTGGAGTACCTATTTTTGATAGTATCAAAACCATCAAACCATTCTTTACCGACGTTCCTCAACTGTTTGTATTTGTCCTGAGTAAAGAATTAAGTTTCAACGATACCAAAAATAAAAATCAGGTGGATTACACTCAGGAGATTCTTGTCCAAACCAGCTGCAGGAATATCATCTATTCATTATTGATATTCCCTAACATTATAACGGAAATTTGAGACACCATCACCATTTCTGGACTTAAGGCATATCTTCTAGTAGAACGCCGAATTAAATTTTTAGAAAATTTAGGTAATTTTCTTCGTTTAATATCGGCATGCATTTACACTGAACTGCTGGTGATGCCAGGAACCTCCTGTAAATCGCTTCCGATTGTTTATATTTTTTTGGTTAAGCATTGAGTAGGTATACTTAAAAACGTAAACTCACAAATTTGATATATTGTTGATGAGTAATCATAGACCAGGCGGTATCTGTTTTAAAAGGGGTATACTTGGGTAAAACGCATATGATCGGAGATTTTTGCTTTAACGGCTTCTAAACAACATCAGAAAAGATAATTTTTCTATGCAAATAAAAAAAAACGTGGGCTTAATTTTTAATCCAAAAAAGTATAAAAAAATAGCAAAAAATTCATTTTTTTCTTGGATTTCTCGGCGACAACTTAGCAACTATTCATTTTAGACAAAAATGGAAGAGGAAAAAAGTTTTGTAAATAAATTTTGATCAAGAGTTAGTCGTAATTCGAAAAAATAATTATTGTTATTGCAAAAATTGGAAAAATCATTTAAAAAATTGCAAAAAATTCTAGTTTATTTGTCAATTTTTTTCAGACACTTGAATAATACCTAGGATCTTCATATTTTTCTTAATTAAACTTCTTAGTGTACAGAATCGTCACACCAAAATTCATCTAATTCGGTTTGATAGTTTTTACATAATAATTGTTTAAATTTTTTATATTTTTTAAATTAAAAAATTTTCAAAATCAAATTTCTAAAAATCTAAAACCTTCACCACAGAAAGAAGAGCTGTCAAGCTTTAAAATGATTTTTGAAAAATTCAAATCGGACGATTAGGTGAACCGTGGTGACTGTTTAAACATTGTCCCAATTTTCACACTTATAAACAATTGCAATATTTTAATGTTTTTTAATTTTTTTTTTATTTTAAAATATGGTTTGAAAGTACTCGGAAAGACGAGTATTTAAAAAAAACCTGATGATCCGCCCATTATTTTCGGAGTTATAGCCCGTTAAAGTTAACCCTTATTTATACTAAAACTATAAGGGTATAAGGGCTGTTTTTTGAACTAATAGGATTGCCATTCCGAGTACTTTCCAGATAATGATTTTCAAAATTTGCAATCACGGGTGTCCCATTTAAAATGTGGTATCAGTGGTGGGGGGAGTAAACACACTCCGATCTGAATTCTCGAGTTCAAAACTGGGACGCTCGGAAAAATTTCACTTATCTCAGCTTCTAATGGACCAATTAGATTTTTAGAAATTTGATTTTGAAAATTTTTTAATTTAAAAAATATAAAAAATTTAAACAATTATTATGTAAAAACTATCAAACCGAATTGGATGAATTTTGGTGTGATGATTCTATACACTAAGAAGTTTAATTGGGAAAAGTATGAAGATCCTAGGTATTATTCAAGTGTCTGAAAAAAATTGACAAATAAACTAGCATTTTTTGCAATTTTTTAAATGATTTTTCCGATTTTTGCAATAACAATAATTATTTTTTCGAATTGCAACTAACTCTATCTTGATCAAAATTTAATTACAAAACTTTTTTTCCTATTCCATTTTTGTCTAAAATGAATAGTTGCTAAGTTGTCGCCGAGAAATCCAAGAAAAAAATGATTTTTTTTGCTATTTTTTTTATACTTTATTGCATTAAAAATTAAGCCCACGTTTTTTTTTATTTGCATAGAAAAATTATCATTTCTGATGTTATTTAGAAGCCGTTAAAGCAAAAATCTCCGATCATATGCGTTTTACCCAACCCGATACAAATACTGCCTGGACTATCAAGAAAATTATCTTTTTTGATGACTTTCAAAAGGCTTTATCTTGGTAGGACTGTTATTTGTGACACTTTTTCATAGGAGAAAAAAGTCACATTTTTATGTTAATAACGAACCATTTCATTAATTGCCCGTCAGTCCTCGAACACTTATATTTTTTTCGTATTTGTCAAATATTTTAACCATATTTCGTAATTTTTTTTATCTTCGAGCCGTTTGTGCAGAATACACCTTCACAAAAACACAATCGTTTCTGTGAGTCCCATAAACAGTTTCATCCCATGATTTGTCAATAAAGTGAGATGCACTGTGTGACACAAGGCTGAACAACCACTACTTGTGATTTTATTTCAATTAATAAATGGTGAAAATTTCAAACCAATACGGCAATCAGGAAATGAATTAACGTCAATAACGTTTCTATGTGCTTGAGTGGAGCAATGTCTTATTGGGATACCTCATGTCAAGTTACCTGACTTTTAGAGTTGCAGCGAAAATTAGAATGGAATAATTAAATCTGACAGTCTTCTACCAATAGCATCGTACACATGTTCGATAGAGGAAATACCTCAATATATTGGTAGATGAAAACTACCACTAATTTGTAAGAAAAAAACTGGATTTAAAGGCGTTTGAACATAGAATAGGACAAGATATTGCAGAATTTCTTATATACAACGTTGAACTGTCGTGTATTTGTATTGAGGGATTACAATTAAAGGATAAGTAGGTAGGAGATCTCCTCTTTGAATTTGAGGGAGCAAGACACTCCAACGTTGCATTTAAGAAAGTTCAAGTCGTATTCTAGCTAAAAACTGCTCCAAATGTAGTTTTTCAGCAAGGTAATGCCTCGCCAGAGAAACAACTACTTTCAGCTGTAGTAAGTTCATTGCCATGACCATTAAGGTCTCCAGATCGTTCCTCCATTCAACGTGTTGTATGTATAAGGCATCATAACAAGATATTCACCATCTTATTACAAGCACTATTTCAGATTGAAATTTTTAACCAACCAAAAATTCAAATAACGTCTCTGTGCGATTAAATCCAACGTATTGTAGTCATACAAACAAAGTAGCGTTGACTATTGGCTACTGTTGACACTAACAATTCAGAAGCATTATAAAACATAACAAATGTAATGAAGTTCTTAGTAAAAATGTCGTTGTACCGTAACTTTAATATTATTTTGAGGATTTTAATGGAATACGTTAAAGAAAAAAGCAATTACACTAATTTGACTTTATATTTTAAGTCTTTTATCTTTATATTACATTTTTTATAGAGCTTTAAGGAAACGACGTTATTACTTATTGAAATGTACGCGTATTTTCAGTCCTCCTTTTTAAATCCTTAAATTAAATTTTAAGGATCTAAAATTAGACCAGAAAAGGTGCTGGCAAAGTCGACTTTATTTATCAATTCCAAATTCAATTGAAAGTTCCATTTCTCGACCTATAAGAAGTGAGTGTATACTTCCATACAAATAAGTAAATAAAGGAAAGTCCCCGAATATTTTATTACATCGATTGAGCTCTTAAAACGTTTTTGCGGTTCCTCCCGAAATATCCTTCGAGCAGCCTCGATCAAGAAATTGAACCACATCAAACATAATTAAACTTTATTACTTTCGTGGCTGGTTAAGAAATATAAATTTCGGCAAATATTAGTCGATCGATTAAGCTCATGGTAGCAGACGTACTGAAGATCAAATATTGTTCAATTCCACTGCTTCATATGAAAGAGAATATACATGTAACGTTTCAGGGTAAAAGAAAAATGAGGAGTGTGTCATGTTCAAATATCCTGCGCTCAGATATAATCCTATATATCACAATGACTAATTGAGGCATCTCATTTTCTTTTTTATATTACTCTGCCTCTTTCTGGTCAATTATGTGTTACCGCGGTGAGAGCCTTTTCGTGTATTGTTAGAGGGACGTTACTTTAGGTGTTAGTTACTAAAAAAAACAAGAAAACTGGACTTGCAGCGTTTTAAGACTTGATATTGACTAATTGATTGGAAATCTGTCTCTTCGGAATTGAAAATGTCCACCACCGGAACTGACCAAATTTCTCTTGGGTTGGGTTAATTTTATTCTTGTCGATACAAAATATGAGCGTCAATATTATTTTTCAAACTTGTTCAGCAGTTTGCATATTATGATGTAGCTATGCTCCCGTCTCATTATTTAAAGCCAAATAGCTATCCAGCTAGCTAGCTAAATTTTGAATTTTGTAAAGCAATTATCATTATCTCACTTAAAAACTGTGTTTAATAAATTCTTTCATCAGCAATATCAATTATTGTTTTTCTGTCTCTAACTAATTAATTGGTTGTATATATTTCTGTAATATAACTACAGGTGTGCCTTTGTTAATCTGTAACTGTATTTTAGGTATGTACTTTGGTTTTTTTGTTGAATGAATTCATTCCAAGCTTAATTATTGGTCTTCTTTAATATAATAACGCGAAGTCTAATAAGTTGTTCTGTTGAGTGAACATTACCATCGTCTTGCATGAAGTTCTAACGTACCAATTTTCCAAAATTATTGGTATTTCCATTTCAATTTTTTATTACTCAAAATAAGTTTTGACTGAATCATTATCGTCATCAGTGTTTGCAAATTTGACCTGCACTTTGTTCTTGTGGATACAAAATATAAAATGTGATTATCATTTTTCAAAATTATTAGTTCAATTGCTTGGCAATTTGCATATTATGACGTAATTGTGATTCCTTCTCCTTATTAAGTTAAATGTCTTGTTTTTCATTATACGGGGTGTTAAAAAAAGAGTGTAAAATATTTCAGGAGGTAATAGTATGAACCAAAATAAGTAGAAAAGTCTTAATAAACATGGGTCCGCAAAGTAACGGTTGCGGAGATATGGACCACTATTCGTTTTTCAAACATTTTATATTATTAGGAATAAACTGACAAAGGAAACTTTTAACAAACAAAAAACAAAGTTACAGAAGATATTAAAAGTGCCCTCCGTCCATTTCCAAGCAGGCACGACAACTTCGTCTCAACGATATTCGAACTCTTTCGAAAACACCCTCCTTGGTTTGGATTTCTTGACACTTTTGATTAATCCGTAGCTGCTGCTCTTCAAGGCTATTTACAGGAGTACCATACCTACACTAATGTCTTCAAATATCCCCAAACAAAAAAATCTAGAGGGTTCAGATCAGGCGATCTTGGAGGCCATAAAACAGGTCCGGCCCTTCCTACCCATCTATGTGGAAAAGTTTGGTGTAAATGCTCTCTAACGGCCATGGAAAAATGAGCTGGAGCACCATCATGCTGGAACCACATTTGTTGCCTCTGATTCAAAGGAATGTCTTCCAAAAACTCATACAGTGTGTTCTGCAGAAAGTTGAGGTAAGCAGCGCCTGTTAATCGGTTTGGTAAAACAACAGGACCTAGAAACCTGTCACCTACAATACCCATCCAAATGTTTAATGAAAAACGTGCCTGATGTCCAGATTCTATTAGAGCATGAGGATTTTCGTCGGCCCAAATATGCGTATTGTGAAAATTAAACACTCCATTTCTTGTGAACCCGGCCTCATCAGTAAAAAGAATGTTTGCAAGAAAACGAGGGTCTTCAGCATCATGACGTAGAAACCAGCGGCAAAAAACCAAACGTGCTTGATGATCATTTATTGGATTTAAGGCCTGTACTCGTTGCACATGGTATGGATAAAGCAGTTGCTCGTGAAGGATTCTCCAAACAAGAGGACCACTAATTCCTACCTCGGCTGATATTCTCCGCACACTCGTACCTGGATTCTGCTCTACCAGTGCTAGAATTTCTTCTTCTGCTCTAGGAGTGGATACCGACCTTGGTCTTCCGGATAAATGGCACTGTTTGCTCAAGGAACCGGTATCACGCAATCTTTGGTGAATTCTTCCAAACATGCGTTGTGAAGGAATCTGGCGATTTGGATAAGCGTCAACATAAAGACGTCGCGCTTCGGTGGCGTTCCCATTAGCACGACCATACATGAAATGCATGTCTGTTAATTCTGCGTTAGAGTAACCAGCCATAGCGAAAGAAAACTTGTGCACTGAGAACAACTGTCAAATACGTACTGTTTATTTCACTAAACATCAACCACTATTATAAGAAAATACACGTTTTTGCAAAATAAAAAAAAGGGGCTAAAAACATAAAACATTCCATATCTCCGCAACCGTTACTTTGCGGACCCATGTTTATTGAGACTTTTCTGCTTATTTTGGTTCATACTATTACCTCCTTAAATATTTTACACTCTTTTTTTAACACCCTGTATAATTGATTGGAAACATAGTCATTCCGCTTCATATTTAATCTATTTGAAAAACGAGTCTTATTCAGTGCATCTTTAGATGTACATGGATGATTTTTATCTCTCTTAAAAGTTGTGGTTTCCTTTTCTTTACCTCTAGTTAATATATTCAACAAATTGTTTCTCTTCCTCTAAGAAAATCAGTTCAATAGATTTCCCAGAATATAACTCTAGATATTCCAACATTTTGCTTTGTACTTTGACTATTTTGGATTTGTTGTTGAATAACTCCATTTCAGTTTATTTTCTGAAATATAATGACGTTTCGTCAGTTATTTTGATGATTCACACAATCATCACCCTGTGTTTTATAAATATATTAACTTATAAGGATGTGGAGTAGTTTTCCAAAATTCTAGGCACTTCCTTGACAATCATTTTTTTATTGCACCAGATAAACTCAACAACTTGAATATGATGTGGTGGTGTATTTTGGATGATTTTATTTTGCTTAAAAACAGTAGTTTCCTTTTGTTTACCTCTAGTTAATAAGTTCAATAAGTTGTTCCATCAGCTGCATCAATTCTATCTCTATCTATAAGAGTACAATTGTAGGTATGCCAACACTTTACCGGTGTACTCGTATATCTCTACTTTCAGTTTTTTTTTTTTGTTGAATTTCAAGTTAACATTTTTGCATACTGAATTATAGTGATGCAATTAAATCTCATTAGTTGTTCTGTTAAGTGTGTTTTATAATATGCTGCTGTTTTATAAAAAGTGTGGCAATTTGAACCAATTTTTCCGTAACAAATATTTGTCTGTTGCATCATATGTATACTTTGAACAAGAGTTGAAACTCTCTTTAAATTAGAATTCCTTACATTTTTACGGAAGAGGATTCCAATATACAGGGTGATTCGTAACTTCGGAAAAATTTGGATATACAGGGGATTCTTACAAATACAATTTTGTAAAAAAAAATCAAAAAGGGCAGTTCGAAATAAATAATAAATAATAAAAAATAATTTTTTTCTCAGAAACTATAAGGATTTTATAAACATTTTTTTCTACGATATTGACTCCATTTTCCATGCCGCATCTATTCCCAAATTTTTTTGGATACTTTATGAATCACCCTGTGTTCTGCACCGTAATTGTGGCCTCGTCCCACAACATGATTAATCCTGATGAAAGTAACAAAATAAATGAATAAATAAATGAACATAATTGATTATCATCGTAGATTTTGACCCATGATCTCGATCAGTATTACGTGTAGTATCATCTGAAAGGATTACCATGGAAAAATAAAATTTCCTTGAACTAAGCCCTCAACCACACTCTGGAAAGGTATAATGCAGATTAAAATTGATACATCTTCAGTTGAAATATTAAAACAAACCTACATTTTAATTAGTAACTTTTAATTTAATTTGTGTTGGTTTGTATGTCTTATTGTTTGAACTTATGCCTGCAGGTTATTGAGGTAATTAAACACCCAAGAGATAAGGCTGAAAGTAAATACAACCCAGACATGGGAGTCTCGAAGGAGGACGAAGAAAAATATCAGAAACTGTTAACTGAAAATGAAGATTTACAACGACTTATAGCACAGGTAAAACAGAATGCATCAATTAATATGTCAGGTTGTTCTACCTTTATTAATATCTTTCAGCATTTCTTATCAGTTTTGGTTCTATTAGAGACTTCTTAATAAAGAAAGTGTATTTTCCAAATAAGGACATTTCAAACAGTAATAATTTTCATAGAACATGATTCAATCAAAATGCATCCTGCTTCAATAAACTGCACATATTCTTGCACTTGTTTTATAACGGAGTAAATGTTTTTGGCCATGCCTTAATCTGTGAAACATTCACTTGTTTAACTTCGTTATCTTCCTAAACCTTTATCTTACCAAAACATTTTACAATTATCTAATATGCCAATCTAGTTAAACACGAGTTTCAGTCTCCAGATTGAGCAGTGTGAGGAGAAATAATTTTTAGATGAACGCCTTCTGCAATAGCTTCGTATTGGTAGTTCTAGCGTCCTTCAAAGGTCTGCTTATAGGGCACTATCCATTAATTCATCCCTTCTCTGATAGTATTCCAAAGTAGCTCCAACTGCATTCCAAAAAAGCATGAAGAGGATCTTTCTATGGTGAAATTTATATTTCATTTCGCTTATTCTTGCTTGTGAACCTTCAGCAAAACTTTTAGAAATGATTCAACTCCTCGATTCTGATTGATCTCCTCTTTGGTGTTGCAGAAGGAAGAGAGGATCAGGCTCCTGAAGGAACGTCTGGCGGAGAAGGAAGCCGGCAAGGGCGGGCTCACCCCCTCCACCATAACGCAAGGTAAGGACACACTTATCGTGGCCGATTTCATAACGGACGCCGGCACCTCGGATTCGGCCTTCGGCGGAGGGATCTCCGTCTACACGCGCTCTTCCAGGTGCAGCCAGTCTGATATAGAGTTCAGTGAGAGTTATCTTTAATTCGCTCATATTTTCCTCCACGTTTGTAATTAACGATGCCTTTGGTTATGATGACTGATTATTTAATTTGTCTCTTCCAAAGCGCTTACTACTTCCTTCGAGAAACAAAACTTATTATTTTGAGATATGAAAGCACAAGGTATACCTACTTTATGAGAAATTATTTTTGTTAATAATTTTCTTTAAAAATGCAGTTTTTCGACGTATTTCTTATGTTACTATATAAAACACAGAGTCCAGTATAGAGTAGGCCAAACTAACACTAGAAATTCCTGTTTTTTTTCTAATGATCTTCCTAATCCTATATCGTGCCCAAAGAGGTACTTAGAGATTTACTTTTTGGTCCTAACTTTGAAACCACTTTGCATATTTTGATCAAGTTTTGGTGAAGTGATTATGATTTAATACTAAAACCGGTCTTTTACTATTACAAGGTATCCAGAACCGGACTGGTGTCATTAAATATTTTTAAAAAAATTGTCATTTGACAGATGTCATGAAAAAAAACTGAAACAATATGTGTTGGAGACAGTACGTTGCTGAATACCTTCTAATGCTAAACGAACTGTTTTAGCATCACTTATCTGTACCAGACTACTTCAAAATGTTGTCAAAATATACAAGGTGGTTTAAAAGTTAGAGCCTAAATATTAGGGAGAACATCAGGCAAAAAATATACTCGCGATAGATTGGTAGATAGTTACCGGACACCCTGTATATAATATTTTTTTATTAAAATTGCGTTTTCCCTCCTTAAAAAACATAGTGGCCATGATCTTTACTTTTATTTTTCGTTACATTTTTTTGAAGTTTCTAAAAAGTAGAGATATAACGAATATAATATTTTATAAAATCCAAGTGATATAATTAATTAATTTGAGCGTTTGTGTAAAACATTTTCAGTGTTTTGGTTACGTTTTGATGTTAAATAAATATGGGTTCAAATTATATAGCATAGAAAGCTGACAAAAAATTAATAATAAAGTTAATTGTTTAATTAGTGTAATAATTAAATTGAAATATTCGAGTTTCAATTTCATATTTCGATTTCGATTAAATAATTATTTGAAATAAACCTTTTTATATAAATAGAAAGTATAAAATAGGAAAAATTGTACATATTAAATAACTTTCAAGTATTTTCCTACCCCATATATAAATTTTTGTAAGTGTACATGTGATACCACAAACCAAATTATAGTATTATGTAGGTACATTTAGGTAAATTAAATAAGAAATAATTTTAAAACGTCGCACGCGTATGTAGGCTATAAAGGGGTCCACACAATTTCAGTTTTGTATGTAATGTTACTTATCTTAAAAAATGGAACGGAAATAATAGGTATAGGGAATTATAAACAAAAAACCAAGGAAATTAGAATGTTTTAAATAAATTTCAGTCGCAATTTACCGTAAAGATTTTAAAATACAATTCATGAATTTGTAGCGTTTTTGTTGAATTCAATCTTTATTGCCTTTTAATAAACAGATACGTGGATTAATCAAGGATATATTCTCATCTATTTGTCAATTTTCCTATTTTACACCTGAAGAAATCTGACAGATTTAAAGTGAAGAATTCACCAAGCTAATTTTGAAGCGCGATGTCGTCATTAAATGAGATCCTTTGAAAATTGTTCCATTGGGAATCTGATGGAGTCAGATCAGGAGAATGGGGCGGATGTGGACGTTAAAACTACTTTGGCATATGTCAAATACTTGACTTCCGTGAAAACAAAAAATACTACGAACTTATGTTTCATCCCTAAAATTATATAGAATAGCACTGCGTATTTATACTGCATCAACAAACTGAACGTGTCTGGGACCCTTTATTTTAAATTAACACCGTAGGAATATAATTTTTCTACGACAAATACTAAAATTGCATCTTTTAACGTCAAATTTAATACATTTTATAAATATAGTTACAGTAATTGTCGCAGGAAAATAAATAAACACCCACATTACCCTTTTCCTTAGTAGCCACTGTCTTATAGGATTTATTTCCTTGCACGAACCTTCCTAGTGACAACATAAGATAACACTTTCATCACTTGCATAACTGTTTGAGTCTATAATTGTAATAACAGGATTAGCGGCGATGTATGGCCATACACAACAAAGCAATTCCTCCAAATTGGAACACTTTGGTTCGTGTCTCCCTTAGCTAGTAAACCAATAATAATATAAAACTGACTTTATTGAAGCCGAAAATGCTTAAAAGTATTTTTCCAGTGGGGCAGTTTCCTTCAATAGCAAAGAATAAGTAAATGTCCTTTTCATAAAAACATATACTTTTTAAATATTTTTGCTGAAGGAACTGGTTTAAATCAGTAATTCTTTTCTTTCGAACAATTAGGTAAAATCATTAAATGTTTGCTGCCATATTGATGGTGTAGCATAATTGTTAGGTAGGATCAGCATCAGCATCAAGTTTGGTTTTCGAGGTATACTAACCTAAATGTGTGAAAATATTGTTTTGCTGTGTTTGAGGTTATGTTATATCACGAGGTGATTTTCCCACCAAACTCGTTACAGCTTCTGAAGTTACTACCCTTCCTCTTTATTTATAATCCATTTTCAGTCGTTCCAATATCTTCCTTATTTTCTAAGAAATCATCTGTTGGAATTAATTTCCTTCATCGATATTCGAAAATTCACGTGGAGACTGAAAAAGGGAGAACCAAATTACATACAACTAAGTTTCCACTGATTCTTCAGGTTTTGGGTGTCGCTGATTAGGAATCTGAAGTCAGATTACAAAATTCAAAATGGCGGATTCAATATGACGGATGGAATAAAAAAATGAATTTAGATATAAAAAAATATGTATCGCATTTAATGCAATGGTTTTGATACAACAATTCATCATTCAAGTTCTCAAATTATGATTATTACAACACTTATTCTTCCACCCTCAGGCTGAAGGAAACTATACATCGCACGTTTCTATAAATAATTCTGATTGGCGAGGTCGTTAAATTCAAATCCAATATGGTGGTTGAGGCGATTCTGTAACCCCATAGACTCGAATTTCGACGCGGAAAAATTCTAACACCGTAGATTATAGACCCTAAAGCCATTGAGCAATGTGGAAGTTCTAATACAGCAGAGTCCTGAACCCCATAATCCTAAAGTCAAATTTTCGAATTCCGAATGAGGCAAACTTCAATTTCAACAAATAATTTATTCTAGAGGGATACATAATTCAAAATACGTTTTGAAGAAGAGTAAAGCTTTCATATGCCGTAACCCATAACGAGTTTTGCGGAGAAAGATTACTTTTTCATGTAACATAACCTCAAATATAGCGAAAATATGTGTTTTTCGCACTTTTAAGTTAGAATAACTCGAAAACTTGATGTGGCGGAAAAATCCGAGGTCCAGCTTATATTTTATAATCTACTTTATGGTGCAGATAAGAAGTTGGAAAATGCCCCATTGTAATCTTTCTCACAATTTTCGGATGTACCATAGACAGAATATTCTGGAATTTATATTAAAAAAATGTATATAGTCAGTAATGACCCTTAAATGCCATTGGGACAGGCCCAATTCGGGCTGTTAAAGATGTGGGTGTATGGCCTCCTAATACAGGGTGTCCCACCACGAACTCCATCGATGGATATCTGGGTAACCGCTCGAAGGATTTTTTGAAATTGTGATGGTGTGATAAGGACCGTGAGGACGCTAAAATATTTTCAAGGTCATCGTACTTCCGGTTATACCGGAAGTCGATACTAATTTTCTTATTTTGAATTGAATTGTATATTATTGCATTTTTGGAAAGAGCGTTTATTTTTAAGTTGAAAACATATAGCACACTCCATACTTAGGATTGGCCGTTTCCGAGATATTTTGATTTTTAAGCAAAAATTGACAGTTACAGACTGTCAGCAAATTTTAGATTTCCCGGAAACATGGGTTTATTTTTTTAAGCAATTTGGACATTTTGTAGAGGAAGACCTAATTTATCGAAATTGACTTTTGAACTGAATATTTTCCAGTTTTTATACAGGATGGTCAAAAAAAAAGTTATTGAATATGAAGTTCAGTAAATGTGGAAAACTCGAAATTTTTAAATGGAAACCCCAAATTTTTTTAATAACTTTGTTAAAGTTTCCATATACCTAAACCCAGTGGTTATCATTTTATTTACGAATAAACATTTCCTTTTTCATAAAATGATGTTTTCATTTGTCTCGCACATTTTAGATTGTCCGTGACAGGTAAGTAACAATCAACATGACAACCGTCACAGGTTTTTAATTGTCAAATTTATTTAGTTCCTTGTGGGTCGCTGCTCTAATAGAATCCGGTGATATATGCTATTTTATTTGGGACACTATAAAATAGTGTGTATAGTAGGTACTCCAGTAAGAACAAAGGAAAATTGTATGCATATAGTAAGACAAGCATTTGAGCATCTATCATCGGATTCTATTAGAACAACGACCCACAAGGTGGGTCGAAGGTGTGAAAATTATTTAGAAGTTGAGAAGTTGAAGGAAGACATTTTGAACATTTATTAAAATAAATTTGACAATATAAACCTGTGACAGTTGTCATGTTGATTGTTACTTACCTGTCACGTCCAACCTAAAATATGCGAAACAAATGGAAACATCATTTTAAAAAAAGGGAAATGTTTATTCGTAAATAAAATGAAAACCACTGGGTTTAAGTATAAGGAAAAGTTACACTTAATTTTAGTGCAGAATGCGAATACATTAAAAAATTAGTGTTTTCCACATTTTCTGAACTTCATATTCGATAATTTTTTTTGACCACCTTGTATAAAAACTGGAAACTTTCATGTCAAATTCGATAAATTAGGTCTTCCTCTACAAAATGTCCAATTTGCACAAAAAAAAAATAAACCAGGAAAACTAAATTCTGTCAATTGTTAATCAATCTGTCAATTTTTATCTAAAAATCAAAATAGACGCTCTTTCCAAAAATGCAATAATATACAGGGGGTTCCATTTAAAATAAGA